TGACGACCGTGTTTTTTTTTCTTTGCCCGAGTGTGTGTGTGTAGCGTTGTCTATGTGCCTGTGTGTTTGTCTTTGTCTGTCTGTCTGTCTCTCTCTCTGTCTGTCTCACTCTCTGTCTGTCTGTCTGTCTCTCTCTGTCTGTCTCTCACTCTCTCTCTCTCTCTCTCTCCTGTCTCTCTCTTTTCATCTCTCTTCTTTTTCTCTCGCGTTCCTTCTTTCTCTTTCTCTCCCTTTCCTAGGTAACACCATTAGGGAATTACTCTTACACTGGAAATGAGTCAATTACACTGTGCTTATATGCCTGTCTTCATTCCTACATTTTTCAAATACAGAGATTGAAATAGAAATAGAAACATTTATAGGAAGGAAGGGTCATTGACACCATTTGATCGATGTGTTATTGAAAAAAGGTCACAGGAGAGACGATGCACCAGGTCACAGTTGAGGTGCGATTGCAGGTCACAAGAGAGATGCGATACCAGGTCACAGGAGGGATGTGGCAGTCAGGTCACAGGGAGATGTGGCCATTAGGTCATAGGAAATATGTGGAACAACAGGTCACAACAAATTACAAGGCATCATCTCTTAAAAGACCTTCAAGACCTTAAACTTTGACAGGTGTATGTGTCTTTACACCTTGTCAGGGTTTTGTGTTTGCCCTGATTTGGTGGATTATGGAGACACAATTCTGGTTCAGCTGTTTATTGATAGTGTGTTTATTGATAGTGAAGTGTGTTGCCCTCAGACAACTGTCGAACTATTCAAGAACAGGGTCGGCAACACCCATTTCTGGGGGACGCGGCTAGGTACTCCTCATTCCTCAGACACCTATTGTTTCTGAGATGGACATTTTTTACATAACTTTGGCTCTATCAATAACATCATTGATAATATTAGGATTCTCATCATGATTGCTAATACAAATATCGCTATTACTATTTCCATCATCGTCATCATTACTATTATCACTTTTACCAAAACTATCACAAGGTAGGAAATTCATGTCCTTGGTGGATAGAATATCACCAAACAATATATATTTTTTATGTTTGTTTAGGCCGACGGCAACCTCCTGGTCCTTTTTTTAGGCCTAACAGTGTGATGACTACGAGATAAATTCCTTCCTGCTTTGTTGTTCTCATTTTTCATTATCAATTTTATTATCGTCCTTATCATTGTTATTGTAAGTGTGGTTCTCCTATTTCTCCGAATTGTTGTTAGTATTATTAGCATTACTATAATTTATTATTGTTGCTGTTGTTGTTGTTGTTGTTGTTGTTGTTGTTGGTTATATCATCTTTATTAGTAGTGCTATTCTTATGAATATCATCATTATAATAATAATAGCGATAATAAAGATAAAAAGTAATGATAATAACAATGACAGTGACAATAACAATGGTAACAACAACAATGATGATAGTAATAGATATGATAATTACGATAAAATTGAAAACAACAACAATAATAAAAACAATAAGAGTAACAATACTATAATTGTGATGATAAATTATAAAGAAATATAATGCTAATAATGAAATTGGCAATGATGTATGAATGATGATGATGATAATGATAATATATAATGATTATAATGATAATGATGATAATGATGATAATGATAATACAATGATGATGATGATGATGATAATGATAATAATGATGATGATGGTAATGATGATGATGATGGTAATAATAATGATAATAATAATAGTGATGAAAATGATAACTAATGATAATAGTGATAATAATGATACAATTGATAATGCTAATATTGATAATGATAAAGACAATAGAAGTTATAATAATGATAATAAAAGATATTGATAATGATAGAAAATATATATTATAATAATAAAAAGATAATAGAAAAAATGATAATCGTAAATAGATATTATATTGATAATGATAAGAATAAGAATCATAATCACCATTAATGATAAGAACTATTATTATCAAAATAATATAAGCAGTAATGATAACGTTAACGTAATAAAAAAAAAATGAAAATGAAAAGGATAACGCATATATATATATATATATATATATATATTATACTATATATATATATATATTATATAATATATATATATATATAGTATTTAATATATAATAATATATATATAATATATAATATACATATATAATATAATATATATATATATATATAATTTTATGCGTTATCCTTTTCATTTTCATAATTTTTTTTATTACCGTTAACGTTATCTTTACTGCTTATATTATTTTGATAATATAGTTCTTATCATTAAAGGTCATTATGAATTGTATTCTTATAATTATCAATATAATATTTATTTATCATTATAATTTTTTTTTTCTATTATCTTTATCATTATACTATAGATATATATTTTCCATATATATATATATATATATATAATATATATATATATGTATATACATATAATATATTTACACACCACATACACACACACACACACACACACACAACACACCACAGCACACACAGCACACACAC